GTTAGGTCATTTGGACATTTTTGTAGTTATCTATGTGTAATTAAAGTGCTAACCCCTAACTGCGGATCCCTATACACACCATATAAGTCTCTTTCAGGGACTTTTGTTTGTTTGCGTGCTGCAACTGCTTTCTTCAATTCTCACAAGAGATTTTCTATTGGGTTCAAAACATGTGACTGTTATGGCCTCTGTAGAATTTTCCAGTACTTTTTCTGCAACCAAGCCTTGGTGTAATTTTAGGTATGCTTGGGATCATTGTCTTGCTGGAAGGTCAAAGCTTCAGCTTCCTCACAGACGGTATGATGTTTTCTCCTTATATTTCCTGATACTTTAATGAATCAGGTCCAGAGCATCACCGAGCCATCACCATGCTTAACTGTAGGCAGAGTGTTCTTTTCACCATCGTCATACTTACCCTTTCCGGAGCTCCCCGATCTGGTGGCGGGTCAGCCGCTGCACGCTCTGAGTGCCCGTCTATTTGAGCGAAGTCGCGCCGATGTCATAACAGCATGACTTGAATTGCTGAACTGATTGGTTTGCATGAATAGAAATGAACTAATTCATAATTCAGCCGATTTTGGGTCTTTAGGCGCTCTACAGTGAAGCAGACCAATGGTATTAGTTCCCTGGCTTTATAAGCCAGGGCTTTTCTTTAGCAAGTTGCCCTGTTGTGGTTCTTGTATCCCCAAGAGTGCGCTTTATATATATTTGGATTTCTTGTTACTGACTTTGTCTTGTTTATGGTTTCTTCACTTTCTGTGTTCCTGATCTTGGCTTGTCTTACCTTTTATGCTGTACTTTCCTATGTTTGACCTTGGATTTCTTCTTGACTGCTCTTTACGTTAAATCCATCCATTCTAAGGCTCGGTAATACGTTATACCACTCCTTTAGCAGATTAGGGTCAGTGTGTTTTGGGTTCTCCTACTGTAGCTGTAATAACCATATGCTTCATTCTTCTTAGTCCAGACATACCACTGTTACATTGGGCTGAAAAGTTCCAGTTTTGTTTCATTGCTCCACAGAATTCCAAAACTTCTGTGGTTTATTTATATGGTTTTAGGCATATTAGAATTTACGTTTCTTGTGTTTTTGGCTCAGTAGTAGGTACTTCTTGGTGTTCTGGAATGAAAACCTTCTGTGTTTAGCACGCGCTTACTGTGCTTACTGAAAGCTTGTTGCCACCAAGTCTTGCAGCCTGTCTTTTGAAGTTACTCAAGGGCTTTTGGCAACCTTACTTCTCATAAATCTGGTTGCAGCCATTGATTGCTTCCTTTTTCTGCCCTGTCCAGCTAGTGTAACCACTGTTACTTTGAACTTGCGAACTATGCTTCCAATGGTATCTCTAAGAACATTCAGTACCTTCACTATCTTTTTGTATCCTGTTCCTTGTTTGTGAATGGTGATGATCTCTTCTATTATCTTTGTGGACCATTCTTTTGACTTAGCCATATTTATAACATGCAGTCAAATGTGACACTCAACAAACCCCTAGCCAATTCATTTATTTCAAGTGTTTTTTAGCTCAAGCACACCTGGTGGAACTAATGAAAGCCCTTGATTAGTGCTTTAGACAAACACCTGTTTTGCATACTTGTGCTGTTGTGAGAGATTCTACTCAGGGGGTTGAATAATTTTGAGACTGGAGAAGTCATTATAAGTTGCATTTTCAGTTGAATTTGGGTAAACCAGTTGAAGCATTTGTTGTGTTGAGCTATTTCAATTGCATTTGTTTGATTTGTTCATTGCAAACAACAGAAAGTCTGTAAAGTTTGACAGTAAATCTGATTTTCAATGGGGGTTAAATAATTTTGATTACTGTAAGAGTCACCAAAATGCATGCCCTCTGCATCTTTCCCTAACTCAAGAAAATTGGTCTAGATAAAAATGCTTGTTCTTGGGCAAAACATTGGTTTACAAATAGAGTACAAAGGGTTGTCATTACTGGTAAAATTTCAAGCTGGACAGAGGTGGCAAGTGGTGTCCCTCAGGGTTCTGTTCTGCGTCCCCTTCTATTTAACATGTTTATAAATGATCTTGAAAAAAGCATTGAAAGTCATGTTTCATTGTTTGCAGATGACACAAAACTATAAGATATTACTTTTACTTTAAACTATTTAGTTAAAAAAACATCGCCTGAGAGGGGATATGATAACATTATACAAATATATTCGGGGCCAATACAAACCATTGTGTGGAAATCTATTCACAAACCGGACTTTACATAGGACACGAGGTCATGCGTTTAGACAGGAAGAAAGAAGATTTCGTCTAAGACAAAGGAAAGATTTTTTTACTGTAAGAACAATAAGGATGTGGAATTCTCTGCCTGAAGAAGTGGTTTTATCAGAGTCCATACAGATGTTCAAACAGCTACTAGATGCATACTTGCAAAAACTGAATATTCAAGGATATAATCTTTCAATGTAGGGTAATAACTGCTTGATCCAAGGATAAATCTGACTGCCATTCTGGGGTGAAGAAGGAATTTTTTTCTAGCTTGTTGCAAAATTGGAAGTGCTTCAAACTGTTTTGTTTTTTTGCCTTCTTTTGGATCAACAGCAAAAAAAAAAAAAATGTGAGGGAAGCTGAACTTGATGGATGCAAGTCTCTTTTTAGCTATGTAACTATGTAATACCTCTGTCAAAGCGAGATTAGCTAACTTTGGCTCAATTTTGATGAGTACACCCTGCGTCTCTCAATGGCGTGAGAAGTATAACTATTTCTTGCCAGGCACATGCATCTTTGCACCCAGCCCTTAATCAGGGCTGGCGCTACCATATGGCAGGCACAAGCGCACCACCTTGTGGATGCTGGATTCAGGTGAACGGCAGTAAGAGAGCGCAGCACAGTGCTCCCCTCCTGCTAGTCCTTGCTGTGTAGGGTGCCGAGTGCGTACCGGGGGAGAGGAGCTTGTTTTCCTTTCCCAGGTCTGACAGAAGGTGCTCACCAAGTGTGTCAAAGTGCTTCCTGTCAGACTGGGGAGAGGGAAACAGAAACTCGTCTCCCACAATCTGCACTCAGAACGCTACACAGGAGAGCAGAAATGAGACACGTGACAGGGCTGGGGAAATGAAGGAGGCTGGGGACAATAAAACACATGAGGGTGGCTCGGGAGAATGAGACCCATGACTGCCCTCACAAATTGAGGGCCCATGCATGGACTTTTGGCTAGACAGGCAAAGATGAATTTGCCACCCTCCTCCCCTCCCTGTTTCCCCCAAAAATACATATTTTACCTGTGTGTCCCTTAATCCCCCACTTGAATTTCATGCCCCCATTTCATTCCAAGGGCAATGAAATGGGGGCGTGAAATTCAAGAGGGGGATTAAGGGACACACAGATAAATATGTATTTTTGGGGGAAACAGGGAGGGGAGGAGGGTGTCAAATTCATCTTTGCCTGTCTAGCCAAAAGTCCATGCACGGGCCCTCAATTTGTGTAGATCAATAGGTTCATTGTCTGCACAGCTTCTGCCGATACAAAGATTTTTGTTAGGGGGGAGAAAAATCCAAAGAGACAAAACACTACCCAGAGAAGACACTCAGTCACGCACATTATAAGTGGCAATCAGGCACATTAATGAAGCATTAATTATAAATACTATGCTATAAAGAACCAGAGACTAGAGAGGTATGTGTAATAGTTATCTCAAGTCCATTGGAGCAGCAAAAATCTAGGAAGTGTTTGAGTTGCTTTTTCAGATTTTATAGGGCTGGTATCCGAATGGGAAGTGTATGTGGAGCATTATGTGCATTCTATTTTTGTTTTTCTTTGATGCTGTGAGAGGAAAGAAAGAGTTATATGCACAATATAAGCCTCTGTGTCTTGGAGTAAAATCATTGGTTGTCTAACAAGTGGAACAAGTGCAACGGTAATCAATTTGATACCATACTATGACATCCTTGGTCCTTACTAATATGAATGGTTAATGGACAGTGCTATTGGAGAATTACATCTCACTGCTCTTTTTGACTACACTACAATCATAAAATATGTTGAAACGGTGGGCTCTTAAGCCTTCCAATCTCATGACATCTGAATACCTTATGGTTAATTTCATGGCTATGGCATATCAAACAAGATGTTCTACTTTAAATAAAGCCAGTTCCATGCTTATGTTTGTAAACTTTAAATATTGTAACTAGGAAAGGATTTACATGACATAAAACAAGATTTTTTGGCACCACCATATCCTGCATATGTGCTATGTAGAACTCCAGATTGTGATCTGTATGTTTTAAATACTGACATATCTACAAACCTAATATTGATTATTACAGTGTCGCCTATTGTGATAAAACCAGTGAATGCTTCTAAGTGCAGTTCTACTGCATTTTCAGCATAACACAAAATCCACACTGACAGATTGAAGAAAAATGTTTGTGACAACTCTTCTTGCTACACAAAGATATTGTTTGTCCACACAAGGAACTGATCATTTTCAAGACGATAGGGGACTGTATACACCAGCATTAAAACATATCATCAGTTTATGTTTCCTTAAAATGTACTCCTACAGACTACACTAGGTCATCGAATTCAGAATTTTACATCCCAGTTTTGACTGTTTATCAAAAAAGCAAAACATAAAACAGTTTTTGAAAACAGGCAACAACTCAGTTTCATGGGCCTTTCCTTAGGTCTCATTCCACCCACCAAGGCCAATACGGATTCAAAGTGCTGTGAGGTTCCTTGTACACAAGATATAAAGAAAACCCAGACAAATCATGTGCACAAACAATGCAAAACATTTCAGAAATAAATAAAATGCAATTTGTTGAAGCTGTTCAAAAACAAAAGATAAAAAAGAACATATTAAATATTTAACCACTGCTGGGATGACCATGGCAATCTGATCTTCTATTACCTTATGTTTGTGAGTATATTCAATAAACTGCATTTTGTTTTTTAAACTGTTCTGCAATATTTTTGTAATTTCTTCTCTGCTAATGGTACTAATTGGGACAAAATGGAAAAAATATATATTTTATTTCTATATCTTTGCACTTATACTGATCAGAAACAACATTAAAACCACTGACGTGAAGTAAATAACATTGATTATATTGTTATAATGGCACCTGTCAAGTAGTGGGATATATTAGGCAGCAAGTTAACAGTTCATTATTGAATTGTAATGTGTTGGAAGTAGGAAAAATGGGTAAGTGAAAAGATCTGAATGAGTTTGACAAGTGCAGAAGAGTGAGGGCTAGATGACTGGGTCAAAGAATCTCCAAAACAGCGAGTCTTGTAATGTTTTCCTGGTATGGTGGTTAGTACTTGCCATAAGTGGTGCAAAGTAGGACAACTGGTGAACTGGCACCCGAGTGATGGATAACCAAGGCTTATTGATGCATGTGGAGAGTGAAGATTAGCCCGTCTGGTCCAATCACATTTCATTTTCAGGGATCTTTTTTAATATGTGGCGTAACAGATTCGAGACCCAAGATCAAAGAGATCTGACTGCGTTTCTGCGGTCAAGAAGCATTTTTTCCCCCCTAGTTTGTTGCAAAACTTGAAAACACTTCCAATTTAATATTTTCGCTTGTTGCAGACCATGTACACCCCTTCCTGGCATTGATGTTAACTGATGGCAGTGGTCTCTTTTAACAAAAATTGTTCAGGAATTGTTTGTAGAATATGAAAAAGAGTTCAAAGTGTTGCTGGGGCCTCTAATTTCTCCAGATCTCAATCCGATTGAGCAACTGTAGGATCTGCTAAAGCAATCTGCGTCGAATATCTTGGTACCAGATACCAAAGGACACATTCAGAGGTTTCTTGATGCATCAGAGCTGCTTTGGCAACGCGAGGGGGACCTACACGATAATAGGTAGGTGGTTTTAATTTTGTGTCTTATCTTTTATATTATATATTTTATTACCTAATATTAGTAAGAATTTACCTCTTTAAAAAAACTTTTTGAATTGATTCTGCTAGTTTAGAGCAAATATCCTTTACTTCATTCTTGTGGAACCACACTTTTATGTTTTTTTGTTTTTTAATCAACCATTCTTTCATGTAACAGTCCAGTTTACCAAGTACTTTCTTCAGAATACGTCTTCTTGGTTTAAGTCCAGAGAATTATTAGGCCAATCAAGCACATCAATTTTGTTTTTAGCATGAACATCCTGACAGCTTTGTGAATTATGACATGGAGCAAGCCATGATGAAATGTCCCTGCAAGGGTCCATAGGAATGGCAGAGCTCTCCTGTTTAGGATTTCTATGTAGTTTGCAGAGTTCATCATACTATTAGTTGGAACTAGGCTCTCATAACCACCTCCTGTGAAAATAAAAAATAAAACATCTGTTAGAGATGATCAGCTCTTACAGGTGTAAAATTGCTTCTAATGAAAACACTTGCTCTGTAACCCCAAACAACAAAATGTAGCCATCTTGGTAAAACTTTCCCAAGACAAAAGAACAGATTTATTTATTGGACCTCAACACCCTACTGCTTCACATATCCTTAGTGGGGGATGTATATCACCTACTCCCTCAGGATTAAGCAATGCCGTTATTTGCTCTACCTTATGTAAGTAGGTTTTTTTAATATTTTAGCCCTACTTTCAGTGTACACTATTGTCTTTGTTGTATTTTTCCTCAACATATACGAGGAGGATCTGCACTACACATAAATCCTAGAGTGGGTATTACAGGAGCCAATACAAGAGGCTCCTTATCATGTGAGTGCAATACTTTATATAGAGTAGTATATAGTGTAACATACTACACACTTATTTTCTCTGTTCTACCCTACACGTTCAATGAATATATCTACTACCATTAGGACCGCTTGCTATATTACTATTACACCATATTCTTAGGCGGTGATTATTCTTCCCAAGTTGGAGCTGAATTCAAGCTCCAGAAAAGTGAACATTTTGCTTACTATATCTCTCCAACGAATACCAAGATACACTACACTATTCTTACCTTTTTTTTGTCTGTCTTCTATTTGCATATAGATCTGAGAAATTACAAAGGCCCCACACTAACCCTTCTGCTATATCAAACTTTGACTTTCGCTGGATAAGAGAAACACCAGATTTGGGTGTTTGGCCTGGTAATTCTCCACACTTAAACAGAGTAAAAATTTTGTGGAGCATTCAGAAAAAAACTTCTTGGTAGAGTGAACTGATCAAACACTTGATAAAAGGTTATTGAACTGTGGTTCCAAAGCAACAAATGGAAAATGATTTGTTTTAAGCTGGTAGAATCAATGCCAAAAAATATTCAGGCGGTAATTCCAACTAAAAGAGAACACACTTCTTAGTAATACAAATGTACATAAAGATCCAGAAATAACATTTAAAAATTGGTTCCAAAATAGAAAAGAATTGAGCAGTGAGCAGGGGCATGCACAATACATCAAAATTGCTCTATTAAGCTAAAGTTGTTTTGGTGCCTAAAGTGTCCTTTTAAGGATAAGCCCTTTACCAATCCTAACACTAAGCTTACACTAACCGCATACCTACCCTAACATTACCATCAACCCTACAATATCCATAACCATAAAACAGCATTAACCCTGAGCCTACATCTAAACCTAACCCTACCCGTAATCCCATCCCCATCACTAACCCTCAGGAAGCCCTCTGCTAATATCAATTCTGATATCAAAAGATGGGTTTTCCTAGTTACAACAGTAGAGTAATCTGTGACTTCCATCTACAGGCTGTTGTGAATGGAGCTTACTTCCCAGCTAACTACAGTGATCGGAGCTAGACAGAAGGAAAACAATCTTAAAATCTACAAATCACCAGCTATAGTCCAAATCTTTTCAATTAGATTCTCTATAATCGCCATCTCCTTCAGTAATTGAATATGGAAGCCTAATAGTGGGTGTATCAATAATTATATAAAATAAAGATTTTTCTATATATTATACATGTATTCTCTAATTTATTTAAAAAAAAAATAGATATAAAATTTGTAAAGACAATAAATTAGATAAAGACAGTAATAGAGGTGTAGTCACCAATAAAACTCAGAAATTACCTTTTATTCTCTGGTTAAGGTGTGTCTATCCATATGACTGCCTACATTTGCTATGAAATGTGAATATCAATTGTACATTTAAAAGGTTGGTCCAAGCACCACGACCACTTCAATAATTTGAAGTAGTCATGGTGCATGAAGTCTGTATGTGCAGACAGCTTTACTATTAAATGTTGCACATATGGAGTTTAACTCCTTTGCTGCCAGAGGTGCAAATCCACCTCCAGAAGAATCACTGAGGTATCATGAGAAAGACCAGAACTAGAGTTGAAGCCCAGCAATTCTCAAATCTGGGCACGTTTCATTGCACTGAAAGACAGTCATTGGTTAAAGGCAGTCAGCTGAGTCTCCAAACCAATGAATGGCGATTGCTACTGCGTCTACAGCTCTGCAAAAGCCAGAAGTGCCTTACTGTACCACCAGTCAGCCGCAGAGCCCGGCAGGGACCTAGGTAAGGGGATAAACCATTGCTAAACAGTTTGCCCCATTACCGGGAAATGTGCTAGGGTACTCCTGGCATCATAACCACTACAGGAAGCTGTATTGGTGACTATGCCCGGCCTAACCCCTTTAACTAATCTGGCAATAATTTAGTAAGAGAAAAAAAAAAAAAAAAAGTGTTTCCCTAATAATTATTTAAAATTATTTTAAGGGACACTAGGCACCTAGACCACTTCAGCTAACTGAACTAGTCTGGGTGCTGTGATCCTTTTGCACTTAGTGCTGCAATGTTAAACATTACAGTTCCAGAGAACTGCAATGTTTACATTGCAGCTCTAAGTCTGCCCTCAGTGCCTGTCTACTAGACAGCCACTAGGGGTGCTTCCAAAATCCAAAAGCACTTTTGGTCTGTTATCGGACGCTGGACGTCCTCACTGACCTCCAGTGTCAGGTTTTCCCCATAGGAAAGCATTGAATAATGCTTTCCTATGGTGAGGTATATATTGCGTGCAGCCATTGCCTCACAAGTGCATTGCCTCACAAGCAGCATGGGTGGAGCCTGACCCAGCGCAGAGGGACATCAGCGATGGATTCATGGAAGTGGCTGAAAGGGGTTTTAACCCCTTCAGCCCCGTGGGAGGGGGAGACTTATTAAGCCTATAGTGCCATGAAAACAACTTTTCCTGGCACTATAGGATCCCTTTACCCCCTTAAGGACCAAACTTCTGGAATAAAAAGGGAATCATGACATGTCACACATGTCATGTGTCCTTAAGGGGTTAAAGGGCACCTGTCATGCCCAAAACTTTTTAAAGAAAATAAATATTGATCCAGGCACTCAAGGATAAAAGCCAAAATAGCAGCAAAAGTTTCAATCCAGCAGGGTCTATATCAAAGACCCTGCTCGGTCAAAATGTTGCTCTTTTGGCGGCGGCTGTCGTGTCACGCACTGAAAATGATGTGGGTCCAGAAATGACAGAACACCGGCCCTGGTAGGACATATAGGAACTGACGCCATTTCATTTAGATGCTGGAATGTTCGCAACAAAACCTTCATGGACGAGGTTTGCCCTGGTTGTGGAAGAGTCTCCAAGCATAACAAATGAGTGGAGAAGGAGGGAGGGAGGGCAGATCCGAGGTAGGTATTACACCCATTTCTGTTATGAGATAGCAGCACGAGTAAGGAGGCTGAGGTAAGTAGTAGCAGGGTTCCACTCGAGCAAGTTAATTTTATTTTTTTTAATTAACATTTGCAGTAGTGTTACATACATCGTAATCGAGTGAGACACAATATGGACCGCATACACCTACATATAAATACAGGACTTTAAAAAGGCTGGAAAGAGACATGTGTCCATCAAGCAGAGCCTGTTTTTGCTGTTGATTCAAAAGAAGTAAAGAAAAAATAAATAAATTATAATTGAAGCACTTTACAATTTTGCAACAAACTAGGATCACCTTATCGACCCCATGATGGCATTTATAGGTCTCCTCAGATGAAGAAGCTTTTCCATATGTATAACTTCATAATTAAAAAAAAAAAGCCAACAACGGAAGGGCAGAGTTTGGAACATGCTTATGTTAAAGGGACACTATAGTCACCAGAACAACTACAGCTTATTGTAAAATGTTCTGGTGAGTATAATCATTCCCTTCAAGCATGGCCTCTGGAGGTGCTTCCTGGGGCAGTGCTACACAGTAGGCAGCACTGCCATTCAGCATTTTCACACTGAATTTCCTCAGAGATGCATTGATTTAATGAATCTATATGAGGAGGTGCTGACTGGCCAATTTGGCCCTGCCCCCATCAGCCAATCCAATGCTTGCCCTATGGACAGCATTGAATTGGCTGAAAATCGACAATTCGGATGTCACCAAGGAGGCGGATCGGGGCAGAGACAGCGTTGGCAAAAATCGCACGGTGCTGGAAATAAAGGTGAGTTAACATTTATTAAAACAGAGTAAGGGGGGCAAGCCAGCTAAATTGTGAATTAAACACTATAGGGTCAGGAATACATGTCTGTGTTCCTGACACTATATAGTGTTGCTTTAAAATAAATACAAAATAAAGTGACAAATCCATTGTCTGAAGAAGATTTACACAGCACTTTTTTTTTTTTTAATAACTTTATTACTAAGAAATACAAAATACCAGAAAAAAAAAACAAAAACCTCAAATCAATATCAAAACAAAAAAAAAGACATTGGTAATTGCGAGGAAGATATAGAGCTTAGAGAGAAAAAGTTTTAGATTTTTTTTAAAAAAGCCTTGAAGTAACAAAAGGCAGAAAAGATTCATGAATGAGAAAAGAGCTGAATGATGAGAATAAGTGAGATAAGGTGAGTTTGTAGAGGCATCTGACTGGAGGGCTGGCAGGAAAAGATTTACCTCTGGTCAGACTACTAGACATGCTACACAGCTACTATGCACACATTTGGAGCCACACTGCATGAGAAGCGTGTTACTCTGCCAGCATTGCGTGCATTCATGTAAAGATATTGGTGTATGGGCTGTTACACAGGGTGTTGGAGGCAGCAGAACAAAGAACATACACTTCCAACACTTTACATTTACCACCTGCAGAGTTGTTGCAATACACGCACATTGGAAGCGTGTCACAGGTCACGAATTAGAAGCATGTTACTGGAGCTGTGTCAAACGTGTAGTCACATAGCATTAACATGGCACGAATGCATTTTCAGGTCACAAGCTGTAGAAACGCAGACTGCGATCCATCCCTGTAGATGCCAAGAACTTTGCATTCTGGCCAAAAGCCAAGCCAGTTGTAAGAGCACTGTGATCTGAGAAAAGAAGAGAGGTTAGCAATAAAAGAAATTCTTTATATTACACAGTGTTTGTATGAATACATATTGTATACTTTAATCAGACAACATTCAATATCTTTAAACCTAGGCTCTAAATTTTCACTCATCACTAGCCATTTTTGAGTGAAAAATGTAGCTTCCCAGTAGGTATGCTACGACTTACAATGGTATGTAACATTTAAAGCCTGGCTAGCAGCAGAGGATTTGAAGTTTTAGGCAGTGCACAAAATAAAAATAAAAAAAACAAAACATTTAATACCATTGCAACAGAAAGCCCATATCTTGTTCAATACCTAAAATATGCAGTATTTGCGTGTCGGTAAAATTTTGCAACATATTAAACGGTTTAAGTTAGCTTAATTTAAGTTATGTATTAACACACTCTGTGTAAAATACTCCTGAATTAAAAAGCTGCTTGTTTGCTTTTGACAGGCCAAAGAGTAAGACCAGTTTCTGCCCCAGTAAAAGCAGCAGTATAAGTACCTGTGAAATGCAGAACCTCAGCCCATTGCTTGCAGATGTAAACCTGGATGTCCGTTCCACCGACAGCCAAATATGTACCACTTTGATCAAACACTAGGGAGCGCACCTGAAAGGGAATGTCACTGTTAGACATTCAGCAATAATGTGATCTTATGAACTTCAAATAGCGCACATGCTGCAAAGACATTGACATGCAGGATTCTGATCCAACAATGCAAAGAGAAAAAGCATTGTAGAAAGTAAAAGACGTGGGAAAAAAATGATTTTTACTTGTTTTAGGGTTAATGGATATTGCTTTACTTGTTTTAGTAACACCATAGCTTGGCACAGATTTAGAAAACTCTAGACCTGTTTAGTTGCAAACAGTCAAGACCCTGTGCAATTAAAACAGAGAGTAATCTATATCAGCCGTTAGTGTAGCTTTCATGCAATAATGCACATGGATCTTTTGGGGATTAGTTTCTACGGTGCCACTATATAGGACTATAGAGATACTACAGCTTGGATTCTCAACCCACTGCCATGCCTTGCACAATGTGTTCAAAATGTTAAGCTCTATGCCTAAAAGTTAATCTTAAATGGATATACACAGAGCATTTTATTTTTCACACAGAGTGCCCACCTCTAATCCATTCGAGATTATATTTGATATATATACACACACACACACGATACAGTATCATATTCATATACTACCACAAGTCAGTGGCCATTGGAGTAATAGAGGAAGTCCGCTCACTAAGGATGCAGCCTGTCTACATCAGCTGCAAGGCCACAAACCTGGGTATCATTGTCACTTGTTTGTTTCTTTAAGTATTTCAACAAACAAAAAAGGTAGGAAAGCCCTGTTTACTTGTGGCAGTCACCCTGGACATTGAATAGTACCTGGTATCCATCCTCTAGTTGCAGTGTCTTGAAATTTTTCAGTTTCCTCAAATCCCAGAGTTTAACACTGGAATCATCAGCTGCGGTAGCCAGATAATACCCATTTTCGGAGAATGCAACACATGAGACGGGGCCAGAGTGACCAGGGAAGTTTGCCACATTAGATCGTTCCTAAGGAAGATGGTAAAGGAGCAAAGAAGGAAAAAAAAAAAAAAAAAAATTCAGAATAAGGGAGATCGTTGTATATGCAAATAAATAAGATTACATGTGTTCAATTTATGAGACACTACTGCCCAAAAACAAAAAAACTAAAAATCACTGTTTAGTAGATATACCCAGCATAAGAAAAAAAATGCATGCATATTTTTCATTGTGGTTAATCTAAAACAGCTTGCAAAAGCAGCAGCTCTCTTGTTTGAAGCCCTCTTCCTCCAAATCAATCTAATACAATGAAATACTTCCCAATGCAGCTAAATGAGAAGTCTTTGCAAGGCAGGCGCTCTGAAAAAATAGCTGCCTCTTGATTTTAACTCCACTAAGATAAACAATCAGGAAGTAACTAGTAAGGTTGTCTAAACATCCAGGGGTGTAATAAGGTTAATTTTAAAAAGTTAGAATTTTATTGAGATCTACCCTTGAGTGAACTAAAGGGACACTAGTCACCAGAACAACTAGCTTATTGTATTTGTTCTGGGAGTATAATAAGTCCCTCCAAGGCTTTTTGCAGTCATCACTGTCTTTACAGAGAAAAGGCAGTGTTTACATTACAGCCTAGGGCAGTGATGGCTAACCTTGACACCATAAATTGTTTCTGGACTACATTTCCCACGATGCTCAGCTAGCTTTTAGAGTCTAAAAGCTAGCTGAGCATCGTGGCAAATGAAGTCCAGAAACAATTTATGGTGTCAAGGTTAGCCATCACTGGCCTAGTGATACCTCCCTCCACTGGCTACTCCTCATATGGCTGATAGAGGTGCTTCCTGGGGAACTGCTGCACACTGCAGCACTGACATTCAGTATCTCCACTATTTCTATGAGGAAATGCTGATTGGCCAGGGCGGTGTTTGGTTTGTACTGGCTGTGCTCCAGATTGGCTCAAATCACCACTTCTGATGTCAGCCAAGCAGGCAGCTCAGGGGCAGAGCCAGCAGCAGACTGAAATAGGTTAGATTTTAATATATTTAGGGGACCCAATGGGCTATATGCCGTTTTTAACACTAGAGGGTCAGAAATACAGGTTTGTGTTTCAGACCCTATAGTGATCCTTTAAAAATTGCAAATGAATAAATGTTTTACCTTAAGATCCCATATCTTGATTTGTGAATCCATTGTCCCCGTGCCAAAGATGAGACCATCGGGGTGGAATTGAGCACACGTGAGAGCTGCAGATGTAAGATGTTTGTGTAAGAAAGACGAATATATAAAAAAAAAATCAATGTGTTTCTAGAAAGGAAGACTTTGTACTTACCACAGCCTGATGCCTCGTCAGTCACTTTGGTGAGAACACGTCCCACGTGAACATCAGAGAACGCCCAGTACTGAAATGAAGAGGGTAATAGATTTCATTTTACTTACATAATGAAGATTTAAGAACTTGCAAGAATTACCTACTTTAGTAAGAACCTAGATGGTGTACGTACAAGTATAAAATGCCTAAACACGCTTGGCATTAGAATTATTTTTTTGGGGAGGCTCATGGTTTGTCAACCTTTGCTCTGCAGGTAACAACATGCAGGAAAGAGAAAGACTAGTGTGTTCCTTACCTGATCATCTGAACAACTCAGCAGATAATCTCCAGTGGCATGCAAACTTAGACCAGTTACTGCCCCTTCGTGAGCTCTCAGAACTTGAGCACACGAGGCATCTGGAACAGACCACACTCTTATAGTAGAGTCTGGAGAAGCAGAAAACACCAGCTCCTGTAAGGGAACAAACAAATCCGGAAAACTAATGTCAGGGTCATCAAAAAACAAAGTCTAATTATATACAATTAGACTTATCCATCTTTTATACCTGAGAAGGATGGAACACAACATTGGTGACCTTTTTGGTATGACCTTTAAGAGTGGCAAGGATTTGCTGAGAAAGAGCATCAAACACAACAACACTTTTATCTGCTCCACCTATGATGAAAAGGAGAAACAAAATATATATAAATACATTTAGGGGCCCTAATTTTTACCCCCCATTTGCCTGGAAGGATCCAAAGAACTTTTGAAAACAGCAGCTTATTTGAATTAAACGTACTGTCAGTTAAGTGTTCTGTAGAGATTGTAGAAATTTGCCTACTACGCAACCCTTATACAACCTATGCAAGTACTTCAAATCCTTGCATAACTTTCAGAAAGACAAATTTATAGGATAAAGTTCCTATTTTTTCCTTCATAAATGTAGTTGTGCAAGGCTGCCCAAAAACTGAAAAACAGTGAAGTAATTGTGATTAATTTATTAAATGGCTTACTACATGATTACATTATCTATGATTTGATCTCAATCATGGGTAAGTTAAAGGAACACTATAGCATTAAGAATACAAATCTGTTTTCGTAACATACAGTTCCTGTCCAGACTTGTAGCAATTCCCCAGTGCAAACAAATGTTACCTTTTCCAGCGCTGAGGCATCCTTGAACGCTGCTTACCTCTCCACAACATCACAGAAGAGGAATGGCCACCTCTGCCGATGCTTCTCAAAGAGAAGCATTGGTGACCCAATGCATATGCTAGCATTTACACGTTCCCATAGGAAAGCCCTGAGTCAACGCTACATGAGAGTTTTACTCTGCCATTACAGCGTTAATGGCTCCATTATCATACTGTGATCCACTAGAGGTGCACCCAACCCTGCAAATTTCTCAAAACCTGCAATGGTTTACATAGTATGGTTAAGGGACAAAGACACAGCAACCAGACCACTTCATTAAGATGAAGTGGTCTGGGTGACTATAGTGTTCCTTTAAAGTATTTATGCTCTATTATTATCGTGGAAAACATGGTTGCATTACCATCTATAATTTGTTCTCAACAAATTTCTAGCAAATAGAGCTGAGAAGTTATTCATTCCCCTCCCCACTATATTCCTGGTCTTTGCTGCTATATAGGTGGAAAAGTTCACAAATATGGAGTCCACTGTGCATGCTGCTTCTTTGTCCATTCTTAGAAGTTACCTTACAGGAGAAAGTTTACATAGGCAAGGTGGTTTGGCAAGTAGTGTAGGACTTGACATTTTGAGCCTTGTCATTCTTAAACATTTTTCCCTTTCTTAAATATACATTTCTACCATGGCGTTTGCAAGAAGAAGTATCCACAAAGAGATCATATCCTAATGAGGATTAAACAGGCAAAGTTCTACCACAGTATGGGAATGATTCGCAGATATCCCCACCTGTAAGTGTTTTGTTGGTGTCGGTTGGACACAAATCCAAAGCCAAGATTCCAGGGACACTTGCACTGTGTAGACCCTGAAATGATGAAAAGAAATTGTAAAATGGATGCAAGTTATGTGCAAGACCATCTGGATTTTGAAGAGAAGAACACATGGACCTACCACATGAGAGGAGACCTGGTGATACTTGCTGAGTTCTTCTGGTTTGACCAGATCCTCTGGAACAGTCTTACCACGCTGAGAAGAAAAACAAACACAGAACATAGGTTAAAATCCTTTCTGAAATCAGATCAACAGAGCAGGAGAACACAGCATTTTTCATTTACCTTCTTACGCTCCGTAGTAAGAACTGTGGCTTTGTCTTGAAGCTGCAATAAGAGAAGAATTCAGTAAATGTAAGATAGCATTGTCTGAGAACCTACAGTAGAATGGTTTTCATCTTATGAAGAGTTGCCATGGTGGCACAATCATCCTTTTAAAAATATATACCTTCTGTATGATCTCCGCTGACATTCCCACCAGTTCACCAAGGTCCATGGCTTCTCCTGAGCCCTACAATGAAATGGAGACAAAAGCAGCAATTTAGAAATTTAGGATTAAAGGGAGTAAAAATAGATAAGTGGAATAAATTCAAAGCAGGCAGTACTTACAGCTACTCCAGCCTGCGGTGTTGGGTTGGCTTGAGGTACGGATATACCAGCCTGAGGCTTCAGAGTAGCCAAAGCTGAAGGGAAAAACACCACATTATTGCATTATTTACAGTTAATGTAGTCATTGCATTTAGTATTCCTAATTTTCTGTGTATATTGTTTAATAACAAAAGAAAAGCTTTCATTTACCAGCAATAACATGTCCCACGGTCTTCTAAAGATACTTACGATTTGACCAAATACGTTTACCAAGGTGTGACAAATTTAAGAGCCTTAGGGCTTATACACAATACTTGTGAAGATTCGGTTTTGGAAAATTACACCTACACGTTTTTGGTGTGATCAGCATTAAGAATCAATTTTAAACATGCATGTAAAAGTAGTCTGTTACTTTTTTTAAATTAAATATTGCTTTAGGAAATATATGAGAATATAGCATACAATAAAAGCACAACTATTAAACTGCACATAATATTTTAATCTGGAAATTAAAAAATAAAAATACCTTCACGAGCAGCTGTCACCTCTTTGGTAAGACGGGCTATGACACGACAAGCAGCATCATGCTGGTAGAGTGCATGAGACAACTCCTGACGAGTAGTCTGTAGTTGCTGCCGCAACGTGAAGCTGTGGAGCATCACAGCATCCTAACAGTAGGGGAAAAACAAACTTACTTTTTTTAGACAACGGATACAAAAAATAAGTTACTTCCCTTAACTTTCTTTTTTCTTAAAATTAGAGGCAGTTTAACATTCGTGACATCACCATTTCCTTTTGGCAAAAGGCAGGAATCTTTCTCCTCTTTAGACTATATAAAAAAAGAAATCTCTGAAAAACAAAAATGCCCCAGAAAGTACACAAGCCAAAATCAGGCAAAAATGGTTTATTAAATAGGTAGAGCACCCAAAGAGTATCCTCAGAGGCCTGTATGCCTAATCTGTAATTAGAAACTGCTCTGGTAGAATGAGCTTTCAGATGCAGAGGAGGCAGGTTGAGGAACATTAGGTTAGTCACACACGGCTCTACAAATCCAAGGCTCCAGGTCGCCATGGCAACTAAAAATTTTGCCCTGGCGTCTATGATTTGCCAGCTCCTTATCTAAAACACCCGGCTGGGCAAATAATGGAGCTGGTTGTCAACCTGCTGGAGCATGTAGGCGGTCGGATGAGTGAGCGTTGTAGCCGGCCACCCTGAGCTTCATGGAGATGGCCGGTTGAGTGAGCGTTGCAGCCCGCCGCCCTGGGCATTATGGAGGCAGCTGGCTGGGGCAGCGAGCGAGGAAGCAGTGATTTTACTGCAGTTCCGCTCTGCTCCCTCGCGCGGTTTAATGATGCCGGGAGCTGGAATATGATGTCATTTCGACCCCGGCCCCACTGGACCCCAGGGAAAGTCCACTCTGCTCTCCCAAATGTGTGAGTGTTTGAGAAAGTGTGTGTGTATGCCTCCGTTTTACAGGTTATAATACTCAAAAGGCGATTCTGTAACAGCACAAATTAAGATCCCAATGCAGAATGAATTATCTTATTGTAGGAAGCACAAATTAAATACTGCTCTAAAAAATTTGGCTACAACGGGATCAGAAGCTAAATCTCTCATGGAGTAAAACTGATTGCAGAGATTCCCTTTCATTCCAGAAGTTTGGTCCTTAAAGGGTTAACCCCTTAAGGACCAAACGTCTGGAATAAAAGGGAATCATGACATGTCACACGTCATGTGTCCGTAAGGGGTTAAAGGGACACTATAGTCACCAGAACAACTATAGCTTATTGAATTTGTTCTGGTGAGTAGAATCATTCCCTTCAGGCTTTTTGCTGTTAACACTGTCTTTTCAGAGAAAATGCAGTGTTTACATTGCAGCCTAGTGATAACTTCACTGGCCACTCCTTAGATGTCTGTTAGAGATCCTTCCTGGGTCATGGCTGCCTAAAATGCATCCAAACATTCAGTATCTCCTCCCTCTACATGCAGACACTGAACTTTCATCATAGAGATGCACTGATTCAATTCATCTCTATGAGGAGATGCTGATTGACCAGGGCTGTGTTTGAATTGTGCTGGCTCTGCCCGTGATCTGCCTCTTTGTCAGTCTCAGTCAATCCTATGAGGAATCATTGTGATTGCTGACATCAGAAGTGGAATCCTGATCCAGACTGCTTGTTTTTCTGAGGCAAACAGCATGCAGAGTTACAGCTTCAGGCTTGAATACAAGTAAGATTTTACTATTTCTAGGAAGGCATGAGGGGGACAGGGTGGCTAGATGGTTTTAACCCTATAGGGTCAGGAATACATGTTTGTTATCCTGACCCTATAGTGCTCCTTTAACAGAGAGAAGCTAGACCTAAATCTATAGTGAAGTCAAGATAAAGATAAATCAGAAGGCAAGGGACATCAGCTGTGATGGGATTAACCTTAATACCAAGTAGAGTTGGAATAATAGGGAGAAATTTTACTGATGCATTCTTTCTTGGCTGCCACAAAACGATCTATAATTTCATGGTTTAAAATGTTCAAACTCAGTATTTGCCGGTCAGAAACCATGCTGTGAAGTTGAAAGATGTTAAGGTCTGTGGATCCACTATGTAGTATTCCAGAAGATTCACAGACAGAAGTTTCCTTAGGACAGACTCATAAGAATAGAAAACCAACTTTACGAGGGACAGAAAGGAGTTATAGCTTAAACTGTGGCTCTGTCCCAGACTATCTTCTGCAGGACTCAAGAGGACCAGGGGATGGATGTATGTCAGTTTAAGATCCCGATGAATCGCTAGGGCGTCTAAGTAGTCTGTCTGGTCTGAACTGTTGATCCAAGCAAACTTTTCGACTTTTCTGTTGATTTTCGAGCCCATCGAAAACATGGATGATTCAGTTTTGAAGAGTTTTCTCTCAATCTGAAGAATAGGCCTTCCAAAATGATCATGGAGTGTTCCCACCAACTGAAGCTTTTTACTGTTAAAGGACAGATTGTCATTAAGAGACCCAGAGATAATTGACTCTTTCTGTAATTGTAACATACTTGCACTTGCCCAGAGGACGGCTGGAATGGCTACAGTAGACTCATTGCCTACCTTATGGAAAAAACTGCTTTCTTTCACAGTGAAGACAAGGCCAACATTAATATCTTTTCTGTGGGTAGAAAAATCTTAATGAGAGACGAATCTATATTAAGGCCCAGAAACCGAATTCCCTTCGAGGGATCTCAATAGATGTGCCAATTGGACCTGAAAAAAGAATGTCTATATAAAGATCTGTTTTGGTTTAAAAAAATAAATAAAAAAAAATCACTATCTTTGTTTCTTTTTCTCATCTGTCAGAACCTTTTACCTCTTCTACTTTGTTTAAGCAGATGATACAGTTGAGAACTGGAAAGCCTGACTTGTTCAAAAGGAAGACCACATACACAGTGTTTAGAAGGGGAGTCCACTGACCAACCTCTAAGTCAGATAGTCCTTCTGGCCACTGTGGAATTTTTGCAGTGAATCCAGCCATGTGCGTTGTGCTTTAGTAATCAAAGATCCTGCAATCAGGGGTTTACTCTGTGCGGTATTCGTTACCTATCGTATTAAAGTGCATGGTTGGAAAGGCTTCCTGTGAGGATATCTCCACTCCCTGGGCAGGAGATCTTTAGTCTTAGGATGAAAGGAAAAAAAGTGTCATCATCTTGTGTTTGCACTGTTCTACTTTTTCTTCCATTAGAAAAGAAAATTCCTTGATAAACTTATGCAAACATTCATCAAGGGAAGCAAAATCTTCATCAGGTGTGACGTCTGAATCTTCATAGGATGATGCAGAGGAATCTAAAATGTAGTCAGAATATACTTCATGTTTCATTTTATTATTTTTATGTGAAGACCTTGTGTTTCAGGTTTAGGAGTAAAAGAGGAGAGGAGACTGGACTGAAGACCATGACAGAAATGATACATCCGCTGCCTCAAAAACTGCATATCTGTTTAATCATTTTGCATGGCATGAATGCAAGCTGCACACACTTGAATTTGGAGATACATTTCCCTTGAACCACAAATTTCTCAGAAGCTTCAGGATTAGATATACTGAAAAGAAAGAAATAGCCAGCAATGCTAAAAAAGGGGGGGACGACGACGGGGGACATAGATCTAAAAAAGGTAAAAGCCGATAGTCTTACCTTAAATGGCCTCTAGATACGCTGGAGGGCTGGTGAGAGCACACCTACAACAGAGCTGAACAGCACCTGACTGGCAGATAGTTGTGGCTGGGGGTTAAATAGTCTCCAAGGTCCTTCCTGTTTGAATTTGGTGCCAATCGCAGAGATCACAATGCAGATTGCAATATCTAGTTGGAATGCATCGTTACTTAAGGACCTTCCAGCAGGGTACCCTAGAACACTAACGCCACTTCCGGCACGGATTGGATGGAAGTTACATTAGCATGGAACATAGGCACCCTGCGTGCATTCAAACGCACAAAGAGGGAAGAAGCGAACCCACGAGCAGAGCACGCCCCGACCGTAGCCATCTCACCTCGCCTGTGAAAGCAACGGGAGTCCTACATACCTACCCTGCCAAAGGCAGCCAGACAACCGGGGAATTTATGTATTTTAGGGATTTTATAGTCTAAAGAGGAAAAGTAAGAGGATGGGCTTTACCTTTTAAAGTTTGTGTTTTTTTTTTATTATTATAAAGTCATTCCTTTTTTTTCCCCTGAGAAGGAAATGGTGCTATCCATAATGTTGCATTACCTCTAAACTGGAGAGAAAAGTTTATTTGCATTCTAGATTTTCTTTAGTGTTAAGCACACAAAAGAATTACAGCTCAGAGTATTCCAGTGACTTACCCACGTAAGATAAAATGTTTAACAATTAGGAGATAGGAAAAGGTCTTTAGTATAAAGGCTGCTTTGTTTTACTTGCAGATTTAATACAAAAACACAATAGAATCTTAACCCTTTAAGGACACAACATTTGGAATAAAAGGGAATCATGATGGAATATTTCCGTCATGTGTCCATAAGGGGTTAATATCACTAGTGCGCTGGTTAACCTGTACACCACAATCGCCAATATTCCTAAGAGTCAAAACTTTACCAAACTGCAAAACAGTCACTACCTCCAAGTTATCTTTACACATCTAAAGTGGAATACAGTTTGGTAAAGACTATTTTAACTTTCCAGGCCATAACTGACACAAGAGCTGACAACTACCTGAAAGACAGCATTAGTAAAACCTTTAGCTTATAGCACAATGTTGACCCCCCAAAAAAACTGCATCTACAACGATACCGTCGACAAGCAGATTTTTATCCTCTCACTCAGATCAATAAAGCACATTATGACTTCTGAGCAGTATTTTCCCCACTACTCCTACTTCGGATCTAAACCTTTCAGCAAATGAACTGGAAACATTTTCTGAGTCTGCTATGCTTCAGTTAAGCTTCTCTAGTCATAATTTGAAACACTTTAAATTCTCACGTTCATAAATAACCCTGGGTGTCTTCTGTTAATCCAGTGTTGACAATAGAAGAAGTGTTTATACACATAGCAAAGGTGAGCACAAAAAAAAAAAAAAAATACTTACCCATTCATCTTGCAGAGACTTCAGGATTGCTGGGATACTTGTAGCAGATGGTGGCTTGGGACGAATTGGATGAGCAACTGAAAATGAATTAAAACGTATGTCAGAGGCAAGTACTTTAAGAGACAAAACACATTTTTAAGGTCGCAAACCAATAGAAGGTCCAAAAGGTTAATGTTTTAAACCAAGTGGATAGTAAAGTAAGGGATAAGAATTGCTCACTCAAATTCAGTATTCATACAAGCTCTAGTGTAACCAGCATATAAGTGTACAATCCACACTCAAGAACTCAGAGCTAGGATTGTACTGCCATACACTGGTTATACCTGAGCTGGTATGAAGGGTAAGCACGTGTATTGACATATTACCATCACTTTTGTTTCCCCTACATGTCACAACTAAGCAGCGCAGAAAAAGAAATACCAAGATACTAACAAAGATTGGAACTCTCATCTTGTCACTGTTAAATATACACGTATAAGAATTTATGTTAGGCACAACCTGGTTCTTCATTTTCTGTGACCAGAGTATCAAGAATTTGTTCTTAGAATGTATAGAGATGATAGTAACTGACCTTTGATGTCTATAAGCTGCTCCTCACTTAGTGGCTGATTAGTCACAGGATCTGTCCCATTTTCAGCCAAATACTTCTCAATGAGACGACGATCAAACACATGACCCGAAAGTGGGGAGACACAGGGGCGGTCAGTGACCTCATTGCTGACTGAATAAGAGAGACAGGGAATGTCACACAATATACAATAGTGAACACACATTTATACAGAAATGGTTACCAATCAATAACATTACCCAAAATGTTGAAATATACCAACAGTGAGAATTCAATGTAAATTTCAAATTTAAGGTCAAAACAGCCAAACTTGAAACATTCTCTATGTCAGCTGTGCTTTCCATTCAGCTATTTTGCGATTACATTTGAAAGTCAATGTGAATTCTTACTTTAATAAATAAGCCAGTAAGGAAATAAAAAAAATAAAAATCACACGTGTCTAGCAAGACAGAAGGTCAGGAGTAGCCATACTGCATTGTAAAGCAAGAAGTGGTAGGTAAAGGTGTATTTTAGAGTATTTTATTATTTGCCGTTTCGTTCAGGTGTGATTTAAGCAAAATAACTCATATAGTATTTGTCTTGAACAAAAAGAAAACAGAGTGCAGCACACAAGATGTGCTAAACAGGAAGGTGCGTCCAACCCCACTGTGAAATCAATCACCTAATTCCACCATACAATCATAGAACATATTGTGGGTGGCGCACACTGTGAGAAAATACCAACTATACACAGTGAAAGGGTGAGTATAACACGTATAAGATGGTATAAATACCCTTATATATTTTCTTTATCAGATACAGCTGTAAAAGATGGTAGAGGTTACTGAGCCTGTGGAACACTGGCTCAGGTAAATCAGCGTGGATTAGACAAAGTCCAATGAATGTGTCCACCATATGAGAGAATGAGAAAATTCCAAGTTAAAAAGACAATTTAGTTAAAAAAAAAAAAAAAAATACCTGAAAGTTCTTACATCAAAGTAAGGTGCCTTCAGCAAGGAATATTTCCCACAGAATCCACACAACGCATTTCAACTTAAGTCTCAGGTGATACATCTGAGGAAGACTTAAGTTGAAACGCGTTGTGTGTGGATTCCATGCGAAATTCCTTGCTGATGGCACCTTACTTTGATGTAAGAACTTTTACGTATGTTTTTAAATAAATTGTGGTCTTTTAAACTTGGAATTCTCAAAAAGAGTGCCACATAGTGCCTGCAAGAGAAACATAGCTCTCCCTCTCACTGTTGCACACATTTGTGTTAAAAAAAATAAATAATAAAATAGAAGTGTTATGATACCCAATAGGACACTATATACTTTGATGTAGCTGAGTTCAAGCACTTTGGGCCTAAACTTTGAAATTCGGGGTTCAATTGACCTTAAAGAGAACGAGCCTCTCGGTGGCCGTACGATTTAACCTCTTGAGATAGTGAGTCTGGGGGCCTCCTGACACCATAACAACTTTATTTAGATGAAGTAGTTGTGGTGCCTGGAGTGTCCCTTTAAGGTATTACCACTAAGCACTGAATACAGCGGACACGTTCCCGGTTAGAGAGAGCACACACTGTAATGACGCGGACTGGCTATAGGGCCGCTCTGAGTACTCACTGTAGCAGGTTAGGGACATGTCTCCGCTGTCTCCTCGCTCTGACCCGGTGCTCTGATCGCAGAATTTGACTCCGTTTACGGATGCCGAGCGGCGATTGGCTCTGACTTTGTGATCGCAGCCTCCTGATTGGCCGAATCCCCTTTCGCGGGCTTAGTCAGGGTTACCGAGCTAGGGATGGAGACAGCGTGCCGCCGAAGTCCACAAGGTACTTCCGGTCTGTCGTTTCCGCTTCCGAGTAAGTGGGATTTCCGGTTTGGTTGGAGGGCCTCTGCGATCCGTAGTGACGTCATGACATCTATGCCTGCCCGGACCGCCATCTTGGATTCTGGCCAAATTGTCACGTAGTTCACTGTTGTTTGTTCCTATGAAGGATGTGTTGAGGGCTTAGGTAATTAAAATGGCAGATGCTAAAATCACGAAAGTGGTGGCTGGTGGTGGATAACTTGCGGCCCTCCTGGCCTTTGAAATGCCATTTTGCCGACTAAGGATTGTGGGAAACGTAGTCTGTAGGTTAGCGATGGAGTTGCCCGATTCGTCGTGTTTTTTTCAGGCTGGTCACATAGCTTCCTTATGCTGTTGGGCAGCACATGAAAATAGCTGTTTGGCAGCAAGTCACCTGCCACAAAATCTGGCTCCTATCCCTCTGGGTTAGTTCTAGGGATTATTATTATTATTATTATTATTATTTATAAAGCGCCAACAAATGTAACAGCGCTGTACAATGGGTGGCTCACATATCACTTTGTAAGGGCCAAGACCGATTACTGGTACCAATATTCTGCCAGGAGTGTGCTAAAGGGGGGGAAGGGCGCTACGCGCCGTAAGAGGAGGCGGCTAGGACCCAGCCTGTTTCTGGCAGCTCCTCGCTCCAGTTCTCGTAAGCCTGGTATTCCGCGCTGACTAGCCCATGGCAGTGTTGGTTGGGGGCTTGCAAGAAATGGAGAGAGGAGCTGAAGATAGCGTGCCCTGGACCTCCGCTGCCGTCCGCCCTAGCAGCAATATCGAAACAATTATCAGAAAACCACTTGAAGCAATTGTTGCGTCAAGATAACACCTGTTTTGCATATTTGTGCATTTGTGATTCTATTCAGGGGTTTGAATAATTTTGAGACTGGAAAAGTTACACATTGCATTTACAGTGAAATTTTGGAAAACCACTTGAAGCATTCATTGTGTCTAGCTATTTTATTTCATTTTGTTTGATTTGTTCATTGCAAACAGCTAAAAGTCTGTACATTTTGACAATATACCTGATTTTCAATGGGGGTTGAATAATTTTGATTACTATATATATATATATATATATATATATATATATATATACACACACACATACAACTGAGAACTGATTGCGTATCGGACAACATATAGGTGAGAATTGAAGCTCATTTTTTGATAAATTATTTTTTAAATGTTTTTCTGTCCAGACAAAATTTTAGTTTTTGTTTCCATTAACTAATGCGATATTTAGGCATGTTGAAATGAAAAATAGATTTAAACATTACTTTCCATGACATCCAAAATACTAGGATTCTAAGGGTGGTTTTTCTGCAACCCGCTTAGTAGTGAATTGGTTAATATTTAAAGGGAAAAGTCAAAATGTTAAAAGTCCATCTGCAAAATAACAGTGTGCTAGTTGGGCCAATAACCTAAATAGTTATATAGCACTCTAGCATTAGAAATACATTCAAGTGTGTTCCTTTTAACTATTGAGTAGATTAGGAGCAAGGCCTGAGAGTTGACAACAAGGTGTCTAACCCATTTAAACACCCTAGACCAGGGCTCGACAAATCCCAGGCACCATGGCGACTAAGAATTTTGCCCTGGCGCCCAGGATTGATCATTACATTTTCTCCTCCTCCTGTCTCAATCCCCGTACTAGCTGGGGGTGGTAAATCAATGCATCTCTATTGGGAACGTTCAGGCTGTTTGAGCCACTAGAGGTGTTACTAGGCAGCAATGTAAACACTGCATTATCTCTGAAGAGGCAGTGTTTACATTGAAAATCCTGCAGGGACAGCCTTTAGACATCAGAGCCGCTATATTAAACTGTGACTATAGTGTTCCTTTAAGAATTGTATTTTTTGTCATTGAAAAAAACTGACTCCTAACTTTTTTTTTAGCTGGCTCCTAGATTCAAAGCAAATTTGTCAAGCCCTGCCTTAGACACTTTATTTATCCCAAGGTCTAGCCTTTAAAAAATCTACATTAAACTAGTAGTAATCGACCGATTATCAACCGATAATCACCGGCAATACCGATAATGAATGGGTGGGCCTGCGCCTCAATAAGTCAGCACAAACGGCCGCCTTAGGGGACACCGGCCTCGGGCGCTATGTCAGAGTGACCGGCAGGAGGTGGGTGTAGAGGGCTCCCTCCTGCCAGGCACTCTGTGTAGCGTGGCCGAGCAGAGCAGTGCACACCGCGGTACAGGAACTTATGTTTCCTGTACCTGGCCGAACTGAAAGGTAGTGCTCACTCAGAGAGCACTTCCTCTCAGCCGGCCGGGTACAGCAGACTGAATCTCCTGTACCAAGGTGCGCACTGCTCCGCTCGGCCACGCTACCAGGAGACACACCAGGGAGCGGGGACCAGGGAGGGGAACTAAGGGACGGGGGAGGGACAGTATGGGACAGGGAGTGGGGGTTGTAAGGAACAATATGGGGGAGGTGGGGTGGTAGAACACTGGGCAAGGGGGTGGAAAGGAACACTATGTAAGGGGGTGGTAAAGAACACTATGGGACAGGAGAGGAGGTAAAAGAACACTATGGGACAGGGATGGGGGGGTGAAGAACACTATGGGACAGGGTAGGGGGTTGAAGAACACTATGGGACGGGGGGAGAACACTAGGAGAGAGAGAGGAACATTAATGGAGGACACTAAGGTACAGGGGAGGGAAGGGAAGGAACACTGGGAGAGGACAACTAAAAGAGAAGGGAGAGGAATGGGGGGGGGCACTAAGAGACAGGTTAAGAGGGGGAGAGTTCCTACCGCACATATTTACACACTGCATCCACTACCCACACTGCATCCACTACACAAACACACACTGCATCCACTACCCACACTGCATCCACTACACAAACAAACATTGCATCCACTACACACACACACACACACACACTGCATTTACTAATCAAATACTCTCACTGCATCCACTATACACACATATAAATATTCTTGAAAACATAACAAAAATCTGACTGGCATGTATATTTTGTGCATTTACCACTTAATAAAAAAAAAGATTTGCAAAAAAAAAAAATTATCGGTAAGCTATCGGCTATCGGCCTGAAAGTTCACAGATTATCAGTATCGGCTCAAAAAAAAAAATCAATATTGGTTGATCCCTAATGTCCAAAGCAATATTTGGTCTATAACAGCACTAAGGGAACAGATTTCCAATATTAGAATACAATAAAACATCACTCCGCAACAGAGTGTGTAAGTCAGGAACCCATAGACACCAAAATTAAAAACAGAAATAGAATATGGCGTATACTGCGCCCAAAATTATACACCTGAAGAAGAGAGGGCTGGTAGATACCTCAAAATGATAAAACAGAAAAACAATAATAGTGCAATACAATTTTGTAAAGTGCAAGGTATTAGCTAAATAGCTGTAGGAAAACCACTCACATAGGGTAGAACTATATAAGAGCTCTGCTGTATTAAGCGTGGACGGTACAATCCCCGTCTAAGGATACAGGATAGTAGAGATGGTACTGGTCCTCCAGATGCGAGTGTAGATTAAATATAAAAATGGAAGAAAAAAACTCTAATAGTGTTTGTTGCCACCTAGTGACACTTTTGATAAAGCCTCTGGAGAGGCGAAACGCGTTAAGTGGGACTTATTTGGACATTTGTACCTACACATATTTTTATATGTTATATATGTTTTTTTATAATAAATAATATATTTTATACTCTTTATATATTTTTTTAATATTTTACTCTGTATCCTGTTTGCTACCTGGTGGCATCATATCCTTAGGTGGGGACAGTTCCACCCATGCTGAGATAACTAGAGCAGGTCTTGCTCTACTAATTGTAAGTACAATACTTTCTTTAAACATCTAGATTATAGTACTTACTACACTATCAGAGTTTTTTTCTTCCATTTTTATATTTAATCTACACTCGCATCTGGAGGACCAGTACCATCTCTACTATCCTGTATCCTTAGACGGGGATTGTACCGTCTACGCGTAATACAGCAGAGCTCTTATATAGCTCTACCCTATGTGAGTGGTTTTCCTACAGCTATTTAGCTAATACCTTGCACTTTACAAAATTGTATTGCACTATTATTGTTTTTCTGTTTTATCATTTTGAGGTATCTACCAGCCCTCTCTTCTTCAGGTGTATGTACGTATAATTTTGGGCGCAGTATACGCCATATTCTATTTCTGTTTCACCAATACACAAGGTTTTGGGAATCCTTGTATTGTATACAGCAGCCCTTATTTATTTATTTATTGTATTATAGTGAGCACCTATACACTTCTGGTTTTTTTACCAAAATTAAAAACATTGGGCCTGCAATAATCATATTATTGAAATATATGTGAATTAGATTGTTTAAGCATTCAGATATTTGCATACAAAATGCTCACATCAATGCCAAAAGAGAGAAACCTCAATGCTGGTGACACTGTCTAAAGAACATCCTATGGCACCTATGTATAAGTATATCTAACAACTGCACATTCATCTCTATACATACATGCACACTTATATGTTTGTTAGGTAGTTTGGTTTTATTCTGTGTGAAATGTCACAATAGTGTATACACATTTGTCAAGCCCCACTATAGTTCCAATATACCCATCGATCGGAATATCCTCAATTAAAGTTTTTTCAAGAATATATCTTTTAATACTTTAACTCAACATATTTTTTATAGAAAATTGAATGCAACAATTTAGAGTTTAAAATCCAAAGTGCTCCTAGGTCAACAATCTTTTTATGATTATGTCCTTTCCAAGAAAAAGTTAAATCTGATATAGCATATATCCAAACAGTGAAGTATAAGATATGTTTGCATGTGATCTAGAACCTGTATCTTATATACGGTGCCCCATTGCATCCTTGTGGATTAATTTCCCATAAATTGAGTGCAGCAGTAAAGAATACAACATTGATAACAGGGAACTATTGGCTATAGTTCTAGTTCTTAAGGAATGGTCTCACTTATTAAAAGGTTCTTCTGTACCTCTCATGATACTTACAAATCATAAGAATTTGTCCTTCCTAAGTGATGCTGAAAGACTTTACTCCAGACAAGCACACTGATCTCTCTTTCTTTCTCGATTTAACTACTTGAAATCCTATCGACCTGGACATCGTAACACTAAGGCTGACTCTTTGTCTAGGCAATTCAAAACTCTTGATAAGGAGGACGACAAACATGAATCTATTAAACCCCTAGAATAAATTATTGCCTTAACCAGA